ATTGGAAGGATTGCAGCCAAATTATGATGCTCGGGAAAGCTTGTGTATCTTTTTGTCGTTGAGGTATGCTGCAATCAAGAGTGAGTTAAATATGTGAAAAAGGGGTTGTCATGCACATAGTTGCAGCAGCAAGGACTACTGAGAGACTCCAAAACAACGTACTGATATCATGTTGTTGCGTGGGTCAATAAACGGACTTGAAGCCCAGTAGGCTCATAAGCGATTGACCCATGTGAATTTTTCTTGCTCAGATCATCCGCCCCAATCACTGTATTCAAAATGGTATCATCTTCTTATCATATTGACCTATTTCTTATTTATAACTCAGGATCATCCTCTTAATTAACGAAAGTGATATTCAATAATTTTCAACAATTCTTCTTCCGAACAAAGTACACCATAGAGCTTCCGCGGAAGCCTCATTCTTTAGAGTTCTCAAACAGTCTCCTCTTAATCGAGACTCTACTCCTTTTTTGAAGCCCTCAAACAAAATACATCATTTGTTCGATACTTGAATCACATTTGATTACATCTTCTAGACTTACAATATTTTTGTTCGATACTTGAGGATTTGACTGACACGACTAAGTTAAGGGCATGACTTTAGTCGTGTTATGAATCACGAACTTTCACAATAGCATGATATTGTCTATTTCGAGTATAGACTCTCATGATTTTACTTTTGGTTTCTCAAAATGTCTCATATAAAGGAAGATGTATTATTTCCTTATAAACTTATGATCATTCTCTTAATTAGACAATATAGAACTCAATAATCTTGTGGTGACGTATCATTTAAACTTCAAAAGTTTTGAAGTTTTTAGTCTTGAAATTATGGAACTAAAAAACATATCTAATCCATATCTTAAAAACTAAATGCGAAGCGAGAAAAGAAAAACAGATTGGCTGGTTTCAGCTTAGCTAATAAACTTGGTGCAACTGCAAGAGGCATATTCATAAGCAGATATCCACACTTCGTTCGTGAAATGATATTGAACTGACGCTTCAAAAGCTACCATTTCCGATGATCCACAGCCAATCAAGGGAAACTCCTGCAAAAATGCCGCCTAATAGGAACAGTACAAGCAAGTTCCCCAACGCATTCTGCTCAGGTGCCTTCAACAAACCAAAATACATAACAATTTATCAGATTCACCAGAAAGTTAAAGGTCATGTGAGTATCAATCAAATTAAGTAAGTGTATTAAAGTTCTGACCTTGTAGCCTTTAGGCGCTGCAGTAAAAACACAGACTGTAAGATGGCCATTGGAAAATCCCAAGAAGGAAGTGAGAAAGATCATCCACCCTTGGTCACCATATTTTGCTGTGAAGTAAAACGCAGGGATCAGTAGAAAACGGCACAGAATTGCGATGAAGAGGCCCTTCCTCGACTCCAACTTCAGACAGTTTATGAGCGGAATGTATCTGCCTATTAGATCCCACACATTGTACATTGCTATCAAAACAAGTGGATACCTGAAATAACAGCAGCCACTGTCTATCAGAGAATTCAAGGATAATAAATCTAACGCTCGAGAAAACCTACCATGATCCCAGTTGGTGTTTTCCAGTGTTTTCATACAAGAAGCCGGGAAAGATAGACAATGTAAGAACGTATATCAGAAACACGCCAAAAAGATAATCCATGTTCATCTGAAATAGTTGTTTTTTGCTCAATAGCTCGGTTTTGTCTTCCTGTGAAGATTAAAAACGAGTTTATCAAGGATATTCTTTTGCTACTATAGTTGAAAAACATAGGGAACTTCGTCATACTTGTTGGTTTGATTGAATCTGGATGCCTGCAGCAGCAAGGTCAGATGACACGGTTTTGGATCCTTCAGAAGCTGCCTTTTTACGGTAGTACTTCACTAGTGGAACTTTAGGGAAGACTATAGCGTACAGAACAACACAAAGGAACTCGAAAGCAGCAGATATTGCTAAGAATAGAACTGCATAAACCAGTAAAGAAGTCGGTTACACTTAGAGCTGCCAAGAACAGGCTACATAAGAAGAATGATGAGTGGTTGAATAGAATTGACATACTAGTTCCTTTACGAAGACCGTTATGAAAATCCTCAAAAGCAGCCTTTGTGATTAACCTCAACCCAGAGGTTAGAGCTCCAGAGGCAGCCAATCCAGCCATAAAAGACTGCACTCATAAAACAACTTGTAAAATAACTTCTAACAAGTTCGCTGCTAACAGATATTATCCGTTTTGGCCTCTTATATATCACTGTCAGTCTCACGATTTTAAAACGCATCTACTAAAAGAGGTTTCCACACCCTTATAAAGAATGTTTCGTTCCCCCTCTCCAACTGATGTGGGATCTCACAATCCACTCCCCTCTGAGGTCCAATGTCCTCATTGGCACACCGCCTAGTGTCTAGCTATGATACCATTTGTAACCATCAAAGCTTACCGCTAACAAATATTATTCGCTTTGGCCTGTTACGTATCAGCCTCACGGTTTTAAAATTCGTCGGTTAAGAAGAGGTTTACGTATCCTTATAGCGAATGCTTCCTTCCTCTCTCTCTCATGGATATGAGATCTCACATAATTGCATACATAGTAAGTAGGTACAAAATCCAAACCTGGATGAATTCGGGACACATCAAAGCAAGATCTCCAACCATACCACCTTGCACGAAAGCATCAGCAACTCCGAATGAACCGACAATGGCGCACAAAGCGATATATGGTCCAATCCCTCCTTTTCCAGATGTGACCAAATCCAACTATTGCAGAAGAAAACAACATTAATGGACGTTCTTACTGAATAAGAAAGAGAGATCTTTTAACTTATATGCACTAATCAGAGCATCTCAATTTTGAAAGCAGCGGCTATTACTCACAACAATAAGCAACACACTACTTATGAAGAAGAGAGAGTATCCACGTATGTTCCTCCATCGGGTATCAATTTTTGCTTCATAATATGCAAGGATTGCAATTGTTCCAACAGCAAATGGTTGATACACGAGGGTGAGTACTCTTGAAGGATGATAATGCTTCAAAGTTACAAACAAGTATAAGACTTATAATTCTTCAACTGAAATAAACTTTAAATAACACCGCTCACAGATATAGGCTGTGTCAGTTAATCATCCATGTTTATTTCAATACTCTTACCGGAAACAATTGATAATAGTAATCTGATATGGTTAGCATACTGTTCCAACAAACAAGCGAACCCAAACCGAGAACCCAGCACACTGCCAGAGCTGTGTACTTCCCCTGCTCAGAAAATTCAAATAAAAATCAAACAATAAAGAACAGTTTGAAAAAAAAGGGATGAGCACAAACCTCAGTCCTCGCTGGAGCCCCAGATTCATGATTGGCATCAGTCATGATAGATCCCTATCTCCAAACAATAAAGAACAGCTCAAAGAAAAAGGAAAAACTGGAATGGGATTGATGTTCTTATATGCAAAGTATCATTCAGAAGGAAAGAGCGAGTGTGAAGGAACAGCAATAAATACACAGATTTGACCACAAGAAAGATGAGCTGTAAAGAGAATCCAGCACAAAATTGAAGGAAGCCCGTAATTAGCCGCTTTGTCAACTCAAACCAAAAACGGTTTATCACAAACTCTAGATTCAATGAGATAGCAGAAAAATGGTGGCTACTTTGATTCCGTTCATATCTAAGTTCTGAAGATAATCTTGCGTTTGAATGCAGAAAAAGAAAGTACAAAGACAAGACAGATTCTAGAATGTGGAAGAAGATTCAAAACAAAAACTGGAATGATTAAAATACAAGAAATCTAATGAAAGCGAATAAACTAATAAGAAACGTGAGAAATAAATGCGTAAACAGAGTGAAAAACCTGGAGAGTGGACACGCAGCTTGGTGGCGAAAGAATTCAAACACTTCCAAATCCGAATACGAGGAAGAAGAGAGTGTAATTCGATTTAAAAAGTTGAGAAAATGAAACGGAAGAACAATAGTTTAATCGGTTTGACGCAGAATATAAAAACTCCCAAAGATTGTAGCGACTGATTTTGACCTGTATGTACCAATGGAGAAAGGTTTGAGCGAAGAGTAGACTCACAACTTTTGACTTAAGAAAACGCACGCAATTCTTTGTTTACGATTCGTGGGGCGCTGACCCCGATGGTCTATAAATGTGAAAGTGGTTCGAAATTCAAAAGATTTAGTAGCGTTAGATTAAATGGGGTTGTTTGGGCCTGAGCTTGCAGTTGCGCAGAGTGGCACGTAGATTGGTGTAATACGGGGAGTTTTGAGGGGCAAAGCAAGTAGCATTTGGAATGACGTAGGGGAAATGGACACTGAAATGGGAGTTTTTGTTTGGGTTACAAACAGAAAATTGTCAAATATTGAAGATTCGGAAGCCAGAAACAGTGCAAATACTAACTTACACACAACGTCCTTTTCCATTTCCAATTATAAAACGCCCAACTTGGTTTGCTTTTGTTTTTAATGGGGACCAAATAAATTATTTCTAAATTCACCATCATCAATTTTTTCTAATGTTGGGATGATAGCGATGTTTGGTTAGGTTGGTTGGGGTTGCATTAAGCTAATTAATCAGATTTAATAATTATCCACTTAATACAAAAGAATAATGATGAGGGTAGATTTGACTTTTGGGCTTTGGATTAAAATAGATTAATATCCAACAGCTTTTTATTAGCGAAATTTAATAGAAAAGGAAAAGAAAAAAAAAATACTATTGTTCGTTCAATAATTCGGATAAGGAGAGTTTGTTGAAATCGAGTGGTGGCCGAAACGAATCGTTTAAGGGGATTAAATTCCACGTTTATATTTGTAGGAGTAGCTCGTGGAAGTATGATAAAATGGTGGTGGGGCCCAGAGACAGATCACAAAGACAAGAGGATGTGATTGGTGGGGCGGCAATACGAAAGTTATACACAGACGGCGTAGGATAGCAGAGGCGTTGGTGGATAAGCCAGTGCCACCACGTCGGAGATTATAATTAGTCCACCGCGTGGGCTCTACTCTTAATTAATTAAAAAATAAATAAAAGAGCTAATACCAAATTTAAAGCCTGAAACGTACGCTATGTGGAAATAATAGAGAGGTCCGCTCAACTCCACCGCCGCCGCCACCACCGCCGCCACCACCTGGCACCCTCCTCCTTCCGTCCTCTGTTCAGTTCAACTTCAAGCAACCAACTCCCTTAATTCTTGGGTAATTAATTCTCTGCTGTTTTCAATATTCTTGTTCTTCTGCTCTTTACTAACCATTCCCAATTTTGGTATTAATTTGGTCTGATCATCAAAGATTCAGTCTTTTTGCTATTAATTTGATTTTGGTGTTCTTGTTTGTCAGTAGTGAAAACGTAGGGATGAAGAATTGTGTTGGGTTTCAGTAAGTTATGTTGTATGATACATTATTGGAATTAAATGATTGGGATGAGAGGAATAAAAATCTAAGGATGCAGAAACAGAGCAGTGAAAAACACAAAAGAACAAAAAAGAAAAGAAAAGAAAAGTGTTGGGTTTTGAGATGTTATGGATTTGAATCGTGCAGTGAATGTGTTTTTGTCTGAATTCAGTAATGTTAGTATTACAATTCAACCCTGTAAATCCAAGGATATAATGTCGGAAGACAATTAACCAATGAATTCGCTTCAAGTTTCAGAATTTCCTTGTTTATCGGACTTTTATCTTTTTGTTCATCTGCAGGAGTGTTGTTCGTTGTTCTTGAAGCTTGAAAATGGCGTCGATTCATCCATCGGAACTTGATTCCAACGCGACCGACTCTGTTGCGTCATCGCCGAGGTCCGACCACCACTTTAACTTATCTAACGATCCACATGCTCGAGTTCGATTCATGTGCAGTTTTGGTGGCAAGATCTTACCCCGACCGCATGATAATCAGCTCCGATACGTCGGTGGCGAGACTCGCATTGTCGCGGTTCAACGGTCCACTGCTTTCTCCCACTTTCTCGCCAAACTCGCTAAGATCACCGGCAAGTTGATTTTGTATAATTTTGAATGTGTTTTCTTTTAATTTGGGGTTTCGAACTTTTGATTCGAAAAGGGGTTTTGAATTTGTTTGTTTAGGTACAATTAATATGACCATAAAGTACCAGCTTCCCAGTGAAGATCTTGATGCCTTGATTTCGGTGTCCACGGACGAGGATGTCGAGAATATGATGGATGAGTACGATCGGCTCGTACAGAATCACAATCCGAAATCGGCGAGGCTCCGATTGTTTCTGTTTCTGAAAGGGGAAGATTCCAGAGCTAGTAGTATTAATTCCCTTCTAGGCGGTTCGACAAATCGGGACCACTGGTTTCTAGACGCTCTCAACGGCGGCGCTCCGGGGCCGGAGCTCGAGCGTGGCCGGTCCGAGGTTTCGTCCATCGTCTCTGAAGTCCCGGACTATTTGTTTGGTCTCGATAATCAGGAAGATGCTTCGACTCAATCACGAGAACCCAAGTTGAAAAGTCGATTTAATTTGAATCCATCTGAGAATGTTTCGGTATCGGATCCCGGATCGCCAGCTCCTGTTGTGCCGTCAGCGACTTGTGTGGCTACGATGCCTAATCTTCCACCGGTTAAAACCCGGCCCGACACGCCATCGCCGAGAGCGGAGCCGGTGGATAAAACGCCGGAGAATTGTGAGCCGCCGGTGATGCCGTTCTCTCAACCGGCCGGATTTCCGAATAACCCGATGATGCATTATTTCCCGGGTACAAATTACCCGGGTCATCAACCGGTCGTCTACCTTCTTCCCGGTCAGATTCCACCCGGAAATGTCCCGATTCAGCATATCCCGATGCAGACTCCCCCGCCGTACGTTCAACAGTTCCCACCGATGGGTGGCGGTCAGGTGCCGATGACATATCGCCACCCAGTTACGATGGGCGGTCAAATGTACGGCGGAGGCATGAGTCCGGTGAGTGGTTACGACCCACAGGCGGAGGCGGCCAGGATCGCTGCAGATGGCGGCGTTAGTCAACAGATGTACTATGGAGTCCAAACCACGGCGAGGACTCCGCCGTATACAGCGGGCATGATGGGTCATCCGGTGGGCGAAGAGGTTCGGGGAAGTGGATCTGAAACAAGGGCTGGTAGCCGAGTATCGCCATAGCAATAGAACTCGGTTGAAATGAATAAGTAAATTTATTTTTAAGTTTCACAGCAAAATATTATTTTGGTTGCGTAAATGGATTAAATTGGGACTGTAATTAGTGGTTCATTTTGGGTTTCTCTTGATTCAGTGGCGTGACTACTCTGTAAAATTAGTGTTACAAAACTTCTTACACAACATTTTACTACCACCACCTTTAGAAAATAAAGAACACACCATTAATTATTTAAAATTCTGATGTTTTCAGAAATTTCAAGTGAAAAGAAGTACGAAAACTAAAATGTTACAATGAACGAACGTCAAAACAGCCAGAATCAAGGACTGCTGCATCCATCTAGTTGATACATCAAATTAATGGTATAGTATATACACAAGTTTAAAAAGTGTTGTTTCTTTAAAGACCAGAAGAACACGCTACCATGTGTATTTTCACAGTGGTAGAACACAACAGTAGATAAAAATCAAGAATCCTTCAAGAATGGAGTCCTTTTCAGCCTCCCGCCTCCTCTATATCGATGTTCAGAAACCCCATATCCATTGTTAACAACTGCAGCCTTAACCATTTTGGAAGCAATGTTGCTGAAATAAGGCAGTGTATCGTGCATCTTCGATAAGAAATCAGATGGAGAATCTCGAAAGCGCGTCATGAGACTTATCGATGTCATGCTGCGTGCCATACATTGGTCAGATTTCAAGAGTGATCACGATTTGGCACATCCTTTACAATGCCACAGGTTTCAGGGGATTTGGTTGAGACAGGAGAAGGTGGGTTTAGCTCAACGAATCGGCTGGCATCACCATAACTACCTATACATATTGTGTCACCCCGACCGTGCCATGTGCCATCTTGAACGTTATTCATTTCCAACGTTCGTGATTCCTGCTCCACATTTAGAGGTATATCAGTGACGATTGAATATGTTAGTTTAAGTTGCTTACAAAAGATGAGAGAAGTAGGAACTTTAATATGAATACAAGGTTTTGATAGGAAGATATTGAAGGACAGACCTGAGATAAGGCGCAGCAGGGGCAGATAAGGTGGTTGACGCAGTCATCCAAGTAGCTATCTCCACCCTGAAATATAAAACACTATTAATCATCACATTAGCCAACTAAAAAAACGCCGCTGAAATTTTCACTCAACAATATTAATGAGAAAGAAAGTAAAACTCGAGAGGGCAATATCTCTCCCAGAAGTCCTACTATAGTAGCTCAAGCTCACCACTAACAAATATTGTCCTCACGGTTTTAAAACGCTACGTTACAGAGAGATTTCCACACTTTTATAAAAAATACTTTGTTGCCCTCTCCTATCAGATCTCACACCCACCCTGTACAATATCCTAAGTCATCACCCAAAGGTATCCAAAATTATCCCCCTTCTAAGGTCCCTACTAACTCCCTCTATTTATAGAACCAAGGCACCCCTAGCTAACTACCAATATGCCCTTGCTAGTACTCTCACAACAAGTGTTCTCTCTTTTTTTTTTTTTAGTATAACCAACCTGGAGTGGAGATTTGTAACCTTGTGCCCATGTACTCTCTCGTTAATCTCACTTTTCACCCTCACTTCCTATTACTAGTCTCTCTCTACACACCATTTGTAACAGCCAAAGCCGAAGTCCAAACCCACTACTATCATATATTGTCCACTTTGGCCCATTACGTATCGCTGTCAACCTCACGGTTTTAAAACACATCAACTAGGAAGAGGTTGCCCTTTGAGGGGTGGATGGTGAGATCCCTAATCGGTTGTAGAGGGGAACGAAGCATTCCTTATAAAGGTGTGAAAACTTATCTCTAGTGGACGCGTTTTAAAACCTTGAAGGGAAACGGTTGAAGTGAAAGCCCAAAGAGGACAATATCCTACGAGCAGTGGGCTCGAGCAGTTACACAATTGCTATAATATAACAGAAAAACTATCCCAAATATACTATTAGCCGTTTGGCTTTCCATAAGCTGATAGAAAAAGAAGTCTCACCCTTATATTGAATTTCCTCCTCATCTGGGTGCGGAAGAACCCCAAATATGTTACTGTTGCAATGGTGAAAGCAAATGCTGAATATACAAAGTAATGGCGTTTTGTGACCAAAAAGGCAATGAAGCTGCAAAGGGCACCAAGAGCAAGAGCAAAATAAACGCTTCCCTGCACAATAATATATCTTCATTTGTAAGGAAGGGAAAACTATGCATTAAGAAAATTTGATGATCAAAGAAAACTGTAATCTAACTTCTTCCCCTCTCTCCCTTTAAAGGTTCAAGCAGCCAAGAAAAAGTTCACCTGAAGAAAACAAGTGCCAAAACCAGCCCTTCCCATATTCTTCCCAAATCTGTGACACGGACAGCTGCATCATCAATCATAGTTATAATTCAAAATTGCGCAGAACATACATCCCCTGCTAGATAACCACAACCAAATATAGATACTCCGCATCCATGAGCAAAAAATGTGCATAGGAACTATTGATCAACTTTTTTAGACACCTAAAAAGGGAAGAACAAAAAGACGAAATAATTTCCCCAAACAAGGTGAATAGAGAGAAGAAAAAGTGGATTAAGGAGTCTAACCAGGCGGATTCGATAGCGATGCGACGGTCCTCAAAGCAATCGAGTAGTTCACCTTCCCACATCCTGAAAACCCCACCGATTTCAGGTCCCGTTTTAGCGTCTTCAGCACTCTCCAACTTTGCCCATTTTCCCTGGGTCTGCATAGCCACCGTGGAACACAACATATCGAAATCCAATAACGTGACCTCCTCCAGAAACTTATCCTCCTCTTCTCCAAACACCCTCTCCTGCTTCTCCAAATCCGCCATTAAAGCGCAAGGGAAGTAGAAACTTAGGGTTTCTTATTTGGGCTCTGAAAAATGCCTTCCTTGGGAATCCGTAAAAGGAAAACTTAAAGAAAGACAACGTAATTAGAAGGCGCGCTACTGCTATTAATTGCTAATTTTGTTTAATCTGCTCGGAAGATGCCTTAATGCTGTTGCCAGAGAGAGAGAGAGAGAGAGAGAGAGAGAGAGAGACAGCGATAGTGAGGATGAATCATAATAATAATAATAATAATATATACGTTTTAAAAACGGGGTCCAAACTGGCGGGCAATAACGGTGGGACCCAGGTGAGGATATTAACATTATCTTCAACAACGGTACAGGTGGTGCCACGTAGGCAATAATTGAAATCTTGAGTGCTAATCTACTCGGCATAATCAACGCGCCACTCCCCGCTTCAATCCGCCGCCGTTAATATATAGAATATACCATTTTCCGGTGGGCAGAAAAAAGTATCTAAAAAGTGTTTTTTTTCTCTATAAATATTATTATTATTATTAAAAATAGGAATTAAAAGCAATAATTAGAAAAAAGAAAATAGAGGGTAATAAATAAAATTGGAAGGGAGTGTGAGTACGCCGGAGTTGAAACCGGAGCAAATCGAAATCAGTACAGACAGACGACACAAAAAAGGGGGAAAGGTGTAGCAGAAGCTCAAGTTTCAAGAGAAACAACCAGTTTGTTTGTTTGTAAAGCGGAAAAGAATACAGACAAAGGCGTTTAATGAAAGCCCGGTTCTTGCATTGTCTGCACCAAAGACGACAGACGTTGTTTTGGGTCAGAAGCCAAGCCCAGATACAGATACCCAACAGCAAGGCTTGGGTTGTTCGAGTGAAGCCATGAATTGTGGCCAAGAATCTGCCGGAGATTCAGTAAGAAGGGATCAGAAAATGACGTGCAAGGCAGGAAGGCGGCTGGGTGTTTCCAATTGCTTGCTCCCTCGGGAAGAAGAACTAGAAGCCACAATTCGATTGAACGTTTTGCTGAACTTGGGCTCGGGGCAATTCCATTTTGGGCTTTGCGAGTGATTTTCGTCGGCCTGAAACCAGTGTAAGATGGGCCCCATCCCCATCCGTTACCGACCCGTTTTCCGGGGTGTTTTGTGGGGCCCGAGATGGGTAAACTTCACGCCGCCTACAACAGTCCAAGTCCAACTAGGACGGTCAGAGTTGGCTTCTTCCCGCCTTCGCAGCTATCTCGCCTTTGATTCCATTCTTTCGAGTCTTTTTCTTTGTTCTTCTTATATTTGTTGCAAAATTGAAATTCCACGTGGGCGTTTTCTTCTGACCCCTAAGGTTTGTTGTGCTTAATTATGAATTAATACTTTTGTTTGTAAGTAACAAAGATCCAACCGGCCAGTTACATGCATATTCAAACAAATTTCAAGAGTATTAGTTGAATTATTGACACCTTTACTTACTTACTTACTCTCTAATTTGTAATTAGATGCCTAATTCACCAATATATTATCTCATCTTATGAAGGATGTGTCTCACATTATGGAATGTTAGCCTTTTATTTTTTTAAAATAACAAAACCATTGGGTCCCGGATCTTCTTTGTCGTTATTATTACTTTTCTTCAACGTGGGGTTGCAGAGTTTAGCATCAAAGGCAGAGAATTTTGATGTTCAAATTCCAAAACGGAGGCCGAAAAATTAAGAATGATTTACAGGAGATGATTTTAACCAAATCGCCAGCCATTTGCTTCCACCAACTCTGTCACTTCCCTGATTAAATATTTAAATCATGGTTTGTACTGTTCTTGGTGGATTCAGAGTGATGTTAGTCTTCTTTTTTAACTTCAACCCTGGATGCGTCTAATCTTTTAAGTTCACTGTCGACAATTTTTTTTGAAATTTTGGGACTGAATGTGGATAAACTCTTAGTGGCCACATGCCAGCCATTTCAATGAAATTTCTTCACTTTTGATACTAATCCCCACCTAAATGGCTTCGGATTGGTTGTTCAAATCGTCGCCGTTGAAGTTTCTTCTCTGAATTTGGGTATTCTTCTTCATCAGCTTTTCAGGTCAGGCTGTATTTCTGTTCAGAGAGATCTTGATATGGGTGGAAATTGCAGGACGTTTGTTGGGTTTCTTCTGTTCTTCGTCATTTCATTCTTCCTCTGTTCTTCTCCTTTGTTTTGTGACGCTGCGAGTTCAATCACAAGGGGGACAGGTTTAAGAGACAGTAATAACGAGACCCTCATATCCGAAAATGAGTCCTACGAGATGGGTTTCTTCAGCCCTATAAATTCTTCATCACGATACGTTGGTATATGGTATCACAAGATCCCGGAACAGTCTGTTATTTGGGTTGCAAATAGGGACCAGCCACTTCTGAATAGAGATGGGGTTTTGAAGATCGGAGACGATGGGAACTTGGTCATTCTAGACGGCAACAACGTCTCTGTTTGGACAAGCAATATCACAGCGAATGCGTCTGATCTGAGGAACTTAACTCTGGGTAAAAATGGAGAATTGATTCTCTCGACCCACGACGAGGCGTCGAAAGTCCATTGGAGCAGCTTCGAACACCCCACAGATACATTTCTTCCAAATATGGTGGTGAAAGTGAACTCTGATTTGGGTGAGAAACGGATTTTTAGGTCGTGGAAATCAGAGACAAATCCGGCCGTCGGAAATTACAGTTTGGGTGTGGATCCTCTTGGAGCCGTACAGATTGTCATTTGGAATGGGAAAGATCGATGGTGGAGAAGCGGACACTGGGATAAGCAGATTTTTTCAGGGGTTCCGACCATGCGCTCAACGTCGTTGTATGGCTTCAAGGTTAACGCTGAGCGTCGAGACGAAATAACCTTGACTTTTCATCCATTGAATAACTCCGATAAGATGAAATTTCAAATACAGTGGGATGGTAAAGAAGCAGAGCAACGATGGAATGAAGCGAATCGCGTATGGGACACCATTCGTTTACTGCCTTCTAACGACTGCGATTTGTATAATTTTTGTGGGGATTTTGGGATTTGTTCTGAAACAAGTAGACCCAAGTGTAGTTGCCCTCATGGGTTTATACCCAAAAACAACGAGCAATGGAAGAGTGGGATTTGGTCAGATGGGTGTCAGAGGAAGACCCCATTGCTTCAGCAGAGGATGAACAGTAGTTCGAATGGCACTGTTGAAGATGGTAAAGAAGATGGGTTTGTGGCTGTACAGTTCGTGAAATTGCCTGATTTCATAACTGCAGTGTTTGTGGACTCTTGTGGAGATGAATGTTTGAACAGTTCTTCGTGTGTTGCATATTCGGATGCTCATGGAATTGGGTGCCTTACTTGGGATGGTCCCTTAATTGATATTCAGAAATTTGATGGTGTTGGGAATACTCTGAACATTCGTCTCGCTCATTCTGATTTGAGTAAGCTTTCCAATCTTTTCAATTCATTCTCTCTGTTGTTTGAAGTTAATTGAGGTTTGACACTTTCTACTCTTAGTACCTGTAGATAACGAGAGCAAATTGTCGACCGCTGCGATAGTATTGATATGTTTAGGAGGAACAGTTGTTATAGCTATGTTAGCATTGCTGCTATGGAAATTCAGAGACAAAATGAAAGGTTAGGTGATATTTGGTAGCGGTGGGTTTGAGCTTTGAGCGGTTACTTTCACTCTTTGCTTAGAAAATTCTAACCATTCATGCACTTTCAGGTTCAGCAGCAGCTGCTTCGAGTAAAACACAGAACAACAATGAAATGTTTGACCTGAGCAAGAGCAAAGAATTTTCAGCAGAGCTTTCAGGGCCATACGAATTAGGCAGAGAAGGCGAACAATTGAGTGGACCAGATTTGCCAATGTTCAATTTCAACTGTATAGCAACGGCTACTGGTAACTTCTCCGAGGCAAACAAGCTTGGTCAGGGAGGTTTCGGCCCAGTCTACAAGGTAACCAAGCATTTCTACTGCAAAGCAAAGAAAATGAGCTCAGTTGGAGCTAATATTAAGCCTTGTCTTCTCTTTTAATTTTCCAGGGAAAGCTTCCATGTGGCCTAGAAGTTGCTGTGAAGAGGCTCTCAGTCCGGTCTGGCCAAGGTCTAGAAGAGTTTAAGAATGAGATTATACTGATAGGAAAGTTGCAGCATCGCAACCTGGTCAGGCTGTTGGGCTACTGCATTCAAGGAGAGGACAAGATGCTGCTCTATGAATATATGCCAAACAAAAGCTTGGATTGGTTTCTTTTCGGTAAGGCCTCTTCTATTCAAAAACTGAATCTTTTATACGTGAATGTTAGGATATTGGGTTCAATTCCTTGGTGGGAATGGTGCAGATCCAGTTAAGCAGGTACTACTGGATTGGGAAAAACGGCTGTCAATCATGGAGGGGATTGCACGAGGACTGCTATATCTTCATCGAGACTCGAGACTACTAATCATTCATAGAGATTTAAAAGCCAGCAATATTTTGCTAGACGAAGACATGAATCCAAAGATATCGGACTTTGGTATGGCTAGAATATTTGGTGGAAACCAAAACGAGGCAACAAATACAATTCGAGTTGTTGGCACGTAGTGAGTACAGACAACTTATGCAGCAGCATCCTGACTTAAAGTAATCTAATAAATCTAATCTTTTGAACATTGTCTAAATGCAGTGGTTACATGGCTCCCGAGTATGCAATGGAAGGTTTATTTTCGGTGAAATCAGACGTCTATAGTTTTGGTGTATTATTATTAGAGTTGATATGTGGTCGGAGGAACACTAGCTTTCGGTCAACCGAGTACTTAACCCTTATCAGCTATGTAAGTTCCTCTGATCTACCATTTATTGGGACTTTAATGTGTAGGTACTAATGATAGACTAAATATGAAAACTTTTTTCAGGCATGGAATCTTTGGAATGGAGGAAGAGCGATCGAACTTCTCGACCCGTCCATTCGGGATTCATCCCGAGAGGAGGAAGTATTGAAATGCATACATGTAGCAATGTTGTGTGTACAAGACTCCCCAGCATATAGACCAACAATGCAGTCCTTGGTGCTAATGCTGGAGAGTGAGTCTGCATCTCTTCCACAACCAAGACAACCTACCTATACTTCCACAAGAGCCTCGATCGACATCGACTTGTTTACCGATGGCCATGACGTTGTATCATCGAACAACGTAACAGTGACAATGGTGGAGGGTAGATAGGATTTTCTTTTTGGTTTTGGTTTGCTCTCTTAATGTTAATACGTGATTTTGCTGGTTTTTCAGACCAAAGGTCGTTAGTTCGTGATGAATGGTTGTTATTTTTACGAAACTATTCAAATTTTATAACGTTTTAGGGAAGTTAGAAGCCCAATTTTATTTATTTTAGTTTCTCAACAAAATATTTTTTATTTTATTCTATGGATTGTTATTTATGAAACTATGGGAGCTCAAAGGTTTTGTCGAGTAATTCCGACAAATTATCTAATGTTGTATTTGATTTTCATGGATAAAAGTAAAACCAGAATTAGAAAACTTACCAATTGGAATAGAATAAGAAAAGGAATATATATCGTATGTTCTTTATATTGTTTTTAAAAATGAAAATTACAATAATATATTTATAAAAAAAGAAACTAAATGTTTTTAGTATGTTAATAAATGCAGAATATTCTAATAAAATTCAGTATGATATTTAAAAATAATATTAATTTCTTTTTGTTAATAATATCATTATTTTGGGGAAAAAAATGTCAATGAAATGGCAAATGGGGCCATAAATTTTATTGAATTAAATAAATTGACATTGATGCGTTCTTTATTTAGAGATCGCCAATAAAAGGAAAGAATTAAAATCTCATTTAATTCAGATTCACATTTCTTAAAATGAAATATAATAAAAGAAAGAAAAATGGTAAATCAGCAGAAAAGTAAACTCAGTTTAAATAAATAATTATCTATAATTGTTTGGGTATATTGGTAATTTCGTGAGCGTAAAAAATTTATACCTTATATTTAATTTCGTGGACTTTTGGCATGACCGACCTCAACCTCTAAAGCCGACGGACGGACCGATTCGCGGTAAACCACCGATGAATTTCCACCGTTTGTCTTGTAAAGGAGATATATTCCATTAATTTGGGGAAGTGAAAAATGTAGAAGGGTATAATGGGAAATTTGGGGAAGTGGCGAGGGTATAATGGGAAATTTGTGATTGTCAACTCAGGATTGAAGTCCAAAAACACACACCACCAACCCAACTTGCATCCCATGCGAAATGACCAAAATATCCTTGCCTCTCTCCAATTCTTTTAATTTCCATTTTATTGTTTCATTTCATATTAAACGAACCCATTTTCCATTTTTTGCTTTTTCCGGTTTCTCTGTTAACGAATTAATTTATGATTTTATTATATATATAAGAAAATTAGTTAGTGGGTTTTAGGTAAATTCAGAGTCTCTGTGCTTTGTAGCTGCTTGAGAAAAGGAAGATTGAGCTGAGCTGAGGCATAGAGGGGCGGCTTCTCCCTTTTGTCTGTGTGGAGCTTGAGCTGTGTTATGTATGTAATGGAACTCTATCGTCTTCCATATTTTGCACTAACCAAAACCTCATAAACCCTCCTCTCTTCAGTTTCTGAGAGAACAAGGAGTGTCCGAAATGGCGGCTTCATATCCCGATGATTTCAAGTGCCCTATTTCTCTGGAGATAATGTCGGACCCTGTAATACTCTCCTCCGGCCACACCTTTGATCGCTCTTCAATCCAACGCTGGCTCGACGCCGGTCATCGGACTTGTCCAATCACCCAATTGCCCCTTCCTGAAAACCCTTCTCTAATCCCTAACCATGCCCTCAGGAGCTTAATTTCAAATTTTAACCCTGTTTCCCTTTCCAAGCCATTTCTTCCTCATCCGCCGCCCCAAACCCTAATCTCGATTCTTATCTCTCCGTCTGCCTCCCTCGATTCTAAGCTCGATTGCCTCAATCAACTCGCCAGGGTGTCAAAGCGCGATTCCGTTATGCGAAGAAAATTGACCGAGTCTGGTGCCGTCTCGGCTGTTCTTAAATGCGTTGGTTCTGACGATCCGACCCTCCAAGAGAAGGCCCTGTCGCTGTTACTGAATCTTAGTTTGGACGATGATAACAAAGTGGGTTTGGTTGCAGAAGGGGCTATTGGTCTCACCGTCGCAGCTCTTCAAGCCAGGTCCCCTGATTGCAGAGCCGTAGCCGCCACGATGCTGACGAGCTTAGCCGTTGTGGAGGTCAACAAGGCTACAATTGGGGCATATCCCTACGCGATTCGCTCTCTTGTTGGTATCTTACGATACGGCAACAACAGAGAGCAGAAGGAAGCAGCAACAGCGCTTTACGCCATCTGTTCATACCCTGGGAACCGTGTACGGACTGTGGAATGTGGGGCTGTTCCAATTCTGCTTGAAATTGCCAATTCGGGGCTGGATAGAGCAGTGGAGGTTCTGGGGCTTTTGGCCAAGTGTAGAGAAGGTCGAGAAGAGATGCAACGGTTCCACGGAAGTATGGAGATTTTGGGACGTGTGTTGAGAAATGGAGCCCCAAGAGGAGTTCAATACGCTCTTCTAACGCTGATTTCGCTCTGCTGCCATAGCGAGCGAGCGTGCGTGGAAGCCAGAAGAGAAGGCGTTTTGGGAATCTGTATGACATTGATTGATGACGATAACGAAAAGATCAGAGCAAATGCTGCAAAATTGATTCATATACTGCGAGGAAACAACGCATGAGAAGAAGGAATCAAATCGGATCTTCGCCTGCGGTCAACAATTGGTGGGTTGGTCTGGTTTATTTCTTATGAGTCTATGATTCATGTGGAGTGTAAACGAAGGGATTTTGTTGTGGCGTAATGTCGATCCCTCATTCTCTTTACCGAGGTGAGTCCAATTTCTTCTCGATTATGGGTTTGTACTTTTTTTTTTTTCTTTTCTTTCTTTTTGGTTGGATAGTTTCTGTACAAAACAAAAACAAAAACAGAATCTGGTAAGATTATGGTTCTTTATATATATATATATATAAAATGTAAATTGAAATAAAGAACAATAGAATGAATCAAGTAGTGCAGGTTTTTCATAAATTTAGATTGTTTTCTTTATGAAAGTTTCCCTTTTGAGTCAACAAGCTAGCGGCGTTGTCATGTGTGGGTGTTAAATGTAATGAAATGGTGCTCTAAATATTGGTTTAGGTAGTTATAAACTTGTATGAAAACACCCCATATTACTTGTTTCTTCTGCTGGAGAGGAAATTCTAATGGGATTCGGATTCTGAAGATAAAGAAAAGTCGTGTATTTTTCAGCCTTGAATCTGGTTTGAATAAGAGAGTAAATGTGTGGTTTAGGGGTTGTAAGAGGAAGGTTTGTGGTTAGAAGTTGATTGGCGTGGCAAAGGGGATGGACTGAGGAGGAACATTTGTTGTTGTTGGTCATTTTCACACGCCACACACATAGGCTCCAAGGACAATGGAGCCCTCCTCGTTTGTTCTTCTCTTTCTTTCTTCATTATTTGTCCAATCTCCTCCTCTGGTTGTTGCAAAAGGGGAGCCTTGTCGTCCAGTCGAGGTTTCAACTTTTGGCCTTTTATAGAAGATTCCTCGATTCTGTATGTTCGTTGAACTACATTCAAGTTGATACTGTTACATTATCTTTAGTTGTTTAGTTTGATAACATGTTTAGAAATTCTCCCTTTCACAACTTTAATGTCCAGAAATATATGTATGGAGATAGATACCTACCGTCAAAATAAATAAATAATAATAACAAAGTAAAGAATGGTTCCTGTTCTTTTCTATTTGGGCTTTCGAAGAGAATTGGGCATTGATCATAATAGGCCCAACATAGCCCACTTGTTGGACCAAGCTAACATTTAAGAACCATTATTTTGTTGTTTTTTAACATACCCATAAATTATAACTAAAAGATTAGATTAAAATAAATGATTATGAAGACTTAAATTATATGGTCAACATAGTGAATCCTGGACTTAGATTTAGTATTTATTTTAGAGATGGAGTTGGTCCTTGTTCTCAATGGTTGCATTTGACTGAATGGTTGATTGAGCATAGCAATAAGAGGCATTGAATGTACACCAAAAATATGGATGCTGCTCATCATAGTGCTATCCTTCCAAACCCCAACAACCACCACCACTCAATGCCCCATTCTTTCCAAGTTTCCCCCTTTGTTATGCATAAAAGAAAGAAAAGAGGAGGCAACTGGTACTTGGTAATGATGTTATTATCAAAGCGTAAATGGGATGAAAATGAAGGGTGTGGATTAACATCACACACACGCTTCAAGACAAACCCTATTCCTTCCTCTTGATACACTTAACCATCCAAACCCATTTCATCAAATAATTGATGTCATGGGACCCTCTTTATTCTTTAATCACCCACCTAAACCTTTATTAAAAAAGCTTATCAACTTAACCAACCCCAAATCCCATTCTTAATTTACTCATTCTTTCCTTTTCCCCTGCCTTGAATTTCAAGCCAAGTACTCTAGTCATATAGAAATCTATTATGGGTAAGACTGTGTGAAAAGAATATGATCAAAGATAGTTATTTTTTCACTCTTCAGAAATTGATGAGTTTTCTTACTCAACAGTGATTTAGGTTGAATATTTCACCTGATCCTGAGCTTCCAATATAGGAAGACTGAAGTTTAATCAACCGAAACAATGATGGTGGGAGGAGTGGACATCAACCATCCCATAATTCAACATGATTATTAACAAAACCCCACCAAAATTGGGGTTAGACCCCATGAATTACGCTATATGTATATATATATATATAAAAACTAAATATTGTAGAACACAGCTTGTAGAGCACTATAAATTGGGGTCCCCTCCACGTCTCTACCGTCAAACATTTCGCTCACCCACTTAAGATTTTCCTTTCCGAAGCAAAATTGAGGAGAAAAGAAGAAGACAGGCGCGAGAATCCATCAATAATGGCCACCAAAGTTTACATTGTGTAAGCCTCTCTCAATCCCTTCCTTCATCTTTCTCTAAATACATTCAATTGCAGTTTATACACAATAAAACCATTTTTTCCTTTGATTATAATCCTCTTTTTGGTACTGAACTGTAAACCCAGTTTTTTTTTTCAGTCACTTTTCTGCAACTTTGAAGTTCTCTCTTCGAAATCGAAACGTTAAAGGCTCTGTTTTTAATGATAAAAAAAGACATCCTGGAAACTTGAACTTGTAGACTTTGCTTCATTATGTTCTTTTATTTGGTTGGTTTTTCTGACTAAAAGTCGATCAATTTCTTTTAGAACAGTGTAAAAGATGATGAACTTTTAACTTGTCTAAACTTGCTAGCTTCGTTTCCTTTGTTCTTTTTTGGATGTAATGGACTTGTTTTATAGGGGAAGTTCTCTTTCCCTTATCTGTCTGTCTCATTGTTACCTTGGTGTATTTGATTGTATTTCTTAAACATCTGCATGAACAGTGAGATGAATATTTCCAGAGACAGATTAAATTGATATCTTTTTCAATGTTTGTTCCACCAAACATGTCAGTGATTTTTTAATGTCACTCTCAAAATCTTGTCCCATTAGCTCACAGTCAAAGTGATTTTTAATTACCATGTGCAAGTTTCATGTTTTGTTTGTGCATTCTTAGGTTACCTATGGAAGTGGGATCTTTATTAGACAAAATGATGTGGAAATTTAGGTATGATATGTGAATTAGACTACCATGAAAAGAAAGCTGAAGTGATTAAGCAACCCAACCTAACCTGTTGAAATCATGTAAAAGCTTTTGGCTAATTGTGTGGACCCAGCTTTAGGACTTTTACTTCTTATTCCTACTGCTTATTTTGTCATCCATAACTATTGGAACTTCCTCTAAGTTCTACTGCTTAGCTGTGTGATGTCAATGTATTCACTGTTGTTTTGCACTCAATGATCAGGTAAATTGTCTTGTCTTCTAACCAAGTCGTCAAGAGTTTGATTTTGTTTTGAAAGTTTAGCTTCTTTTCACACTTGCCTTTGTGGCTCAGCCGCCCCCCGGTGTTTGACTCTGATACCATTTGTAACGGCCCAAGCCCACTGCTAGCAGACAAAGTCCTCTTTGGGTTTTCCCTTTCAGGCTTCTCCTTAAGGTTTTTTAAAACATGTTTGCTAGGGAGAGGTTTCCACACCGTTATAAAGAATGCTTCGTTCTCCTCTCCAACTGATGTAGGATCTCACACTGTTGTTCAATGTCCGTAAAGAGTTGTTTTAAACTTAGATGACTATGTTGTGCAGTTACTATTCCATGTATGGACATGTCTTGAAGCTGGCAGAGGAAATTCAGAAAGGAGCTGCTTCTGTAGAGGGAGTGGAAGTCAAATTATGGCAGGTGCGCGTCTTATTAACGCTGTAACCGTTCATTTCTTTAGGCGCTGGATTAAGATATTCCTAATTTTATTCATAACTCATTAGATGATGCATGTCTTCATCTCACCATCAATCTTGTGGCTTCGTTTCCTCTCATGACTGCTAAGGAGCTAATTAACCTTTTGTACACTTTTGCATTAATCACTCATTTTTTTGGTCCTGTTAGAAGATACATTTTGGGAACTGGTTTTGATGCTGAGTTATGTGAATGGGTGAATAATGTATTCAAACAGGTGCCAGAAACATTGCCACTAGAGGTTCTTGAGAAGATGCAAGCACCGTCAAAGGGTGAAGCACCCATCATTTCACCAAACGAACTTGCTGAAGCTGATGGCTTACTGTTTGGATTCCCTACAAGATTCGGAATGATGTGTGCTCAATTCAAAGCATTCCTGGATGCAACTGGAGGTTTATGGAGAACTCAATCACTTTCAGGCAAGCCTGCAGGCATTTTCTATAGCACTGCTTCTCAAGGAGGTGGACAGGAGACTACTCCGTGAGCCTCTTTTCTACAACCTCCTCACCTTTTTAAACTACACCTTCACATTTCCTTCGTCAACCAAACATTTTAGAGTTAAAAGTCGTAGTACTAAAAAAAATGATCTTAAATTTTTGTGTTGCAGCTTAACAGCCATTACTCAGTTGGTTCATCATGGAATGCTATTTGTTCCGATTGGATATTCGTTCGGAGCTGGAATGTTCGAGATGGAGAACATCAAGGGCGGAAGTCCCTACGGTGCTGGAACTTTAGCTGGCGATGGCTCGAGACAGCCCTCTGAACTTGAACTTCAGCAAGCTTTCCACCAGGGAAAGCACTTTGCTGGCATTGCAAAGAAGCTCAAGGGAAACTGACTGTTTTCTATAATATTGGTCATACTATGCTTATTATTTGTTCTCCCTTCCATTATATGTATAGCTATTCTCTATTCTCTGTTGAAGAATTTGCTATGTCCTGTTGAATATCTCTGTGTTGCCTTTTACTTGTGTATCTATTGAAGCTTACACAGCTACCAAACACTATTATCTATCAAAGTTGTCTGTTGTGTATTTTAATGTAAACTGTTAAACCCATTATCCTTTCGAAGACATTCCATTCCTTTTCTTAATAGATCAAGTTCACTGCTAGTAGATATTGTCTTCTTTAGATTTTTCATTCCAAACTTTTCCTTGAGGTTTTAAAGCATAGGGAGAGATTTTCACACTCAAGTAATGTTTCGTTCCTCTCTCCAACCGATGTGGAATCTCATAGTCCATTCTCTTGAGGGCCTAGCGCTTGTCCTTATTGGGCTTTCCTTTATGACTTGACTTTAAGTCTTAAAACGCATTTACTAGTGAGAAATTTTCACAAACTTATAAATAATGCTTCGTTTTCCTTTCGATCTCGTGCTAAATTATCCTTAGAAAATCACATAACTTAAAACTCATTGGAAATTTTCACGGCAAGGGCAAGAAAAACAAATATGTTTCAAACTTGGAAGTAAAAAGAAACAAAAAGAAAACCAATATCAATGGAATATAGAGAACTAATTAGGACAAGAAAGTTGGGCCAAGAGTTGCATGATTACAAAGGATCATGAGTGGTGTGATAACAAATGGGCCAACAGCTAGAATACAAGTTTATCCAACGTGAAGCTGTTGTTCCCTATGGGATGTCTCTATCTACATATCATCAAACCCGTAATTCCGAAACAAAAAAAAAAAAAAAAAAAAAA